ATTCAAAAGTTGGTCCCACGGTATGACAAATGTCTCACTTCCGGTGGCGAATATGTTGAAAAATAGCTGGACACTTGCTGTATCTGTTGCAATAAATATTTCCATGAAATTGTGTTTTGTTTCTGTAAACGGCCCCAGGGAAACGTACTTTGTGGAAGAGCCTCGTATCTATAATAGCTACATTATTCTCACAATGCACTATTATCTTTTAAAGAAATCAAGTACATGCTACAAATTCTCCTTCATTTGCTCACAACCAAATACCAGTCCCGTTGCAAGGTGAAGAAGATCCACGTCTAAAGAATGTTCTTGATATGTATTATATCGTTATAACAGTAAAGAATCCCTATTGACATTCTATGGACGCAGTTATGTAATAATAAGGTCCAGGCCTACCTGTTTTATTCCAAGGAGCATGCAATTGTTAAAAACTGACAACTCAGAACTTTACAACTTATGCTACAATACACAAAAACGTACAATGGAAACTTATTACTTAAAACTAATCACTAAATCTTACCTTCTTCACTTATGTTTGATTGTGAAAGCCATCTTAAGAAACTCGGACCAACATACAGAATTAAACCAAACACTACTGTTATCAACAGAAATGTTCTTCTGTACCTGAAAGAAAAATACCAACACCATGACGATGAAGAAAGACTGGGGATTTGTACAGCTAAGCTCACAAATTAAAATACAGTATTCATGAGTACTTGATTCTTTGCATGAAAATACATTTAACAAAGCAATTCACATATGATTTAAAGTTTTCCCGGTGATGTAACTCAATAACATTTTCTCAGGTGATCAGCCGCGTCAGATGGTGAAACGATGAAACCGATGTTTCAGGGACTCTGTCCCCATCTTCAGGGTTCTGATGTGACCGGAGGATGTGGTTGTCTCCCATATATATGGCTGATCACCCAAGAAAAAGTGTATTAAAGCAATTCACATTCACTGGAAACCATCATTCCATAACGCTATGTTTGGCACCACCATTACGTTCTATGTTTCCTTGTTTCAATATAGTGTCCTACAAGGTAACTAGTTGGGTACGCCTACACTAAGCACATCCCCTCGGGTCATCCTAGGCCAGCCCACCAGATACACACAGGGGTATGAATTTATTAAATGACTTGTGAAAATTGTTTAGATATTAAAATTCCATTCACTGTCACGCATGGATCTAAACACGTGACAATGAGAAACTTACGTGAAATAATTATCCATGTTCCTCTTCCATTTTCGTACCATCTCCATACACTCCATTATGACTCCTGAATATAAATAAAACAGCTGACAACTATAATAACCAAATGCAGGAAATTTCTTTAACAAGTGACTTTTATTTTCATGAAGGTGATGCCCTTCTGCAAAGCCTTGGTGTCGGTAGATTACTTAACTCGCATGAGAAACTTCCTGCATTATTAGACACATTAAGAATATGTGCAAATCACAAATATAAAATTGCTTCTATTAATTCATGGTATGAATTATACTGTTCAAAAAATAATTGAGCTGATTACCTTTGGTTACCTCGCCTGTGTTTTATAAAAAATAGATGGCAGCACATTAGAATCAGCAGCTTCTGCTCCTTATGGTGATGTTTTACATGAATTATGTTGTCTGATATATGATTCGTCTATGTTTGTAGCCTCTGTGTTATTACGTTGCACCAAAGTGTAAACGGCAAGTGACACATTTCTAAATTACATTAACAGATTATCCCCAAGATCCTGTAAACATTTGATCCAATTTAACTTGAAAATGCACACACACACATACTGTAATATTATTGTACTCTTTTATTTAAATTTCCTATTCAATACATATAATGTTCTTTGTTATTCTGATTGAAAAAGACTGAATGTGTAGTGGTCAAGATATAACATTAAAACTTTGTATAAGCTTTTAATATATAAAATACTGTAAAGTATAAAATTGAATGTAAGTGGGCCACTACTCAGGGCCCTGCATATTGAGGGTGTCCAAGCCAGGCAAATGTTTTAAGAAATACTCACATCTTGGATTAACCACATATGCAACAAAACAATGAATCAATTTTACACGATCAACTAAATTTTAACCACTGCTGTGCCAAAACTTAACATACAGTAAGATTAACAGTTAAAATCTGGTGGTAGCATTTCTTAAATACAGTGGAAATCACTCCCAATAATTACAGTCCATTCCTTACTTCACTATTCAGTGTCCGATCACTTGGCCACTACCCAGACAATCATTACTGTGATGCCAGACAACCAAAACTGGAGAAATATACATGAAATTATTTCCTATATAATGCAACAGCTAAATAACCTTGCATTTCTGCAAGACCTGACTTCCGGACCACAACATGCCATTGGACAAACTATGAATTTACTATCATTTTGAATTGGTTGTAAACTAAACATTATCGCCTTAATTTAGATATCAGAATAGCCACAGATGCTGACAGAATGATTCCACACCTGCAGCAAACAAATGTCATGATGCTGGGTCTACACTAAACAAGTATAATTACAGACTGGCCCTACCGCAGCAACAAACCATTTACATCATATAGCTTTTGTACATATGTCAATACAACACACTGTTACTGAACCATGACGTACATTACATAAAGTCTGTAATAACGAAATTATTTACTTGATACAGGTGAAAGGCATACATGAAAAATAATTATCATTTTATCTAATTGAACTATTTTAACTCAGTTTACAAGTGCAATGTCAATATGACAGGGACTATACACCTACTTGCTTGTAACGCATAGAGGCCAAGTGCAAATTCTATTGAAAAATAGAATCTGAAGTGTCTATTCATGGGCACTCCGGTGGTGGCAGTCCCATCTCATTACTTTTCTCGAAACATGTAGCACTGCCGAAGTGCAAGAATGCCAAAATACGATACAGTCTCGTTAACACCCACTCAAGTTACAAACGCTCCTCGTGCTACTTTAATTAACACGTGAAATGCTAACAATAATCGACCAGCATTTAATGTCTCAATCTTAACCTACAACACATGAACCCCATCGCCGTCTGAAACAGTCATACTATTATATTATGCGTAGATCACCAACATACATACCAAACTAACACGAAATTACCTACGTAACACAATACTTATCGCAGAACTACCGTCATGCATTCGATTGCAACTGATATTGGGCGATGGGCAACAAATATTTACGACATCTGTCCATATCTGTTAGGAATTACTTGAACGAACTACAAGCTGAACCCGAAAGATTCCGCTAGCCGCCAAGACCCCCTCACTTTTGGATCCAACTGGGTGGAAGGTGCATTTTATTGGTATTAATGTGCACTTTCCACAGATGGCATAGAAATATTAAATTGCATAATGTACAACTGACCCTAGGTACCTAACACTGTCCCCCAAAATGAGGAAATGATATGTATATATTTGACAGTATTTTAATTAGGCTTTTGCATATGTTTATTGTGTGTGTTAAAGTTGAAGAAATATTTATATGCAACTTTATATTGCATTTTTAACCAATATATTGACTCACTTTTTACAGATTTATGCCAAAATGACTGTTTCTTGAGGATATAATGTTTAAAAATAACTCTGCAAATCATAAATTTATTCACTGTCAAATGTAGAGCCGGACTGTAAAACTGGATATATGCTTCAATGTGCTTATTGGGAGGAGATGTTTTTCATTATCTAGGACTCAATAGAGGAATTTCTCTACATGTAATTAGTTGGTAGCTTCCTGCGCTTATTGATGGCCAAAAGTAATGTATCAGAAGAGTTATAGCCAGCTTTGTAATATTGAATCCTTTCAGCATTAAAAAGATTTATTGCAACTCAAATGAGAGCTTTAAATTAGCCAATACATCACAGGCAGGTTTTTATGTGATTAAGATTTACATATCCAAAAACAGTAACATTTTCTGTATTTCTTTCTACACAGATGCAAATAAAAACAATTTGTTGCTTGTACTTTTTATTTGTTTGTTTCACTGTGCTTCAAAATTTTTAGAAACCTGATGCCTTTCTCAAAGCATACTGATGAAGATAAACACTATTAATAACTATACTTAATCTTTTTATGGTATATTTTATTTTATCTCACTCACAGATTAAGAAATTTTTATGAATGCATTTATGTCCATTGTTAGATATTTAAAATTGTTCCAGTTTATGACAATCAAAATAAGAATTTTGCTGTTTCCTTTTCTATCCACTTCATAATTTAGAATATGAAAATATCACATATTTGTTCATACCCTATCACTAATGTTAGCAATTAAATAAGCTGATCATTTAACTTTATTATTTTTTATTTTTCCTTTAAATCTTGCCATTTAGGAGATGTAAAGTCTAGACCTGTGTCCAGAGACTTTCCCCTGTAAAGCTTGTTCTGGATTTTTATTTTTTGTGGTCTAACCCTAAATTCTTTGTGTTACAAACTTCCAGATGTCATACAGAAGTGCCCTAAAAATGTAGGCTTTTGAACAGCTGTTTGCGAATTGTTATATTTTCATGAATGTCAGCAGTCTTGCACAATATCCCAAAAATGTAGGCTTTTGAACAGCTGTTTGCAAATTGTTATATTTTCATGAATGCCAGCAGTCTTGTACAATATCCCATTTAAAACATAAGTGTGGCAGCATTTCAATACTGGCTGACATAAAATAAAATAATAATAAATAATTGAAAACTTTTTATACTTCGATCCATATAATGTAATTAGCACGCTCAGACTTTCTTCTTGAAATTATAAGCCCATATGCAAGGACAGTCAAATACATTTCCACATTTTGTTTGGTTACTGGAATTACACACAAGCGTGAATTCATGTTTCAAACTTCATAATGCTTTTGCCACTGATGTGTCCACAAACACTTACATTAAATACATTTCCACATTTTGTTTGGTTATTGGGATTACACACAAGCGTGAATTCATGTTACAAACTTCATAATGCTTTTGCCACTGACGTGCCCACAAACACTTACATGAAGTTTCTTTAATTCAGCTCAAAGTTTATTGGGAATAATAGTTTTTACAGTCCTGTACAAATTCCATGACAAAAACATTTGTAAAAACATTTCTATACATTTTATACAAATCAATAATACAGTAGAAGAAATATCCATTTATCACAAGGGATCATTTCTTTAGATATTTTAGTTTGATGGCTGGCTATGGATGCAGACCACCAATTAGATTCTCACCTTCCAGGCAACTCACTTGACTCTGTCCATCAGCCAGCTATCGTCCAGACAGGAAGTTGGGCAGACAGTTGCATTGCAATGCACATCCAAACGTGCATGCAAAGCAATGTTAAATCCTGTTCAAATGGGCACATAACATAACACAGTTTAGCAAAACTAGCTTCTAAAGGATTCCAAATTCCTCTGAAAATAGACAATCACTTTCTCGTGCATTATAGTTCACTTTCGGTGTATGACATGGCATCAAGTTAGTAATATTAATGTTGGGAAAACTGTTATTTGCTAAACATAAAGGATGTTGGTGAACTTGCTCTAAGATATTAAACATCTTTCTTCTTATTATTTCTCAGGTTTAAATTTAGGAAAGATTCATTCAACTTTCTGCACTATCGTTATGGAAAATTCATTTCAGTATACTTGCACATTAGACCAATATCTTGTATGGTCCACTTTCACACTTTATAATTCAGGCTTCTAAATTATTAAATGTAAACATTCACAGGCGAGTAAACTTTAATTTTCTTCAAATAAAGTACATAAGAACGTAACTCTATGGGATGAACTTTTTAAATGTTTTAACACACGCATTATACTTTCAATGATAATATTCCAGTAGATAGCTGTACTTTCAAAGTAATTTAAATGGATAATAAAAATAATAAAACTTCTTTATATTAGCTAAACATTCCATATTAATAAACAAATTTCCTTTCAGATCAGTAGGTATTTTCATAACTGCGCTTTTGCACAAGATATGTGTTGCAGGATCTTTCCATTTGTTTCCATACCTTGTATTCCTTTAACATAAAATAAACATTTAACAAATAAAAAAAATCATTTTTTTGGTAACAATTCTAGTCTTTTGACATCCACTGGACTTTCATTCACCAGGACAAACAATCCACAAATGGTAAAAATGGGGCAAGTTTGAGAAACTGATGGTACGTTGAGTTTGAGTCTTCCCTGGAGAAGTATATGAGGCACTTGGTAATGCAAACTGAGACTGAGACAATGGAACTCAGTGGGAAAAGCCCGCGTCCATGCGGGGCGCGCTGCTATAAGTGAGGATCAGTATCACCTGATTCAAGTTCACCTCCCGTCCCAGTCCCCACCCCTGCACCCACTCCTGACATCTGGAAGGACAAAGGTCTTCCTTGACGTTCCTGCAGCAAGAGCCGATGTGCCGCACGGTCCATCTCCTCCTGAGTCATGTCTAACGCTTCCTGCATCTCACGAGATGTGTAACGAACGAAATCGGCATCACAGTATTTGCCAAGACCTTGCTCCACCAGTACCTGTAAGCAGCAATGTTTTGGTCAGAAAATAATATTCAATACATGAATGATAAATAATGCATGTGGCACAAAACCATTCAACACTCACCCTGCCTACCAGGCTTTCGGCTGAACCAACTACCTCGGGGAAGTTGGGACGACGGTCAGCTGGACTGCCAGGAAGTGAATGTGACAGGCGTTCCGTGCCAAGACTGCCATTGGACTCGCCAGCTCGGGACACTGTGAATCAGACATTTGACACACGCATCTGCTTCATTTACTGACAACTTAAGAGCTAAATTACAAATTAATGCAATATTGCATAATGTCTCATAATTTAAATGACAAAAAGTTAGTTGTGACAAGGTCTGGAAGAGAGGTGTTAGTGAGCAGAGTGGGGTCTGACCTCTGCCATGAAAGGAAGCCCTGTGAGTGAGGGGGGAGCGTCGCCCGTGCCCCTGGCATTCTGTCGCCACCGCTCTGTTGTCACTTGGCAGGAAACTAGCAACTGCCACAGCCATCATTTGTGCCTGGGCCAGCTTGAGGCCATCCGCTATCCGGCTGAAGCTCGATGACGTCTCGCGACCCATACAGCCCAGACGGAACGAGCCCCCCCCAACTCCTCGTGGGACTCTCCGGGGAGGGGGCGTAGGGGGGGTCAGCTCGGGGCTGTATTCATCCTGCAGGCTGGAAGCCAGGTTATGATGTTAGTAAGGAAAACACACCAGCAAGCATGCGAGTGAGAGTGTTAGCAAGTGAGCTGGGGAGGGGGCAGGCCAAGAGAGCCACGCAATATGACGTGACGCTTACCGTAATGGTTTGGATGTAGATACTGGCCCCCTCCGTGTTGGCTGAAATTTGTACAAGAACCCAATATTGACATCTCTAACAATAAAAACATTGAGTCATTATTGGATATTTGTATTTATGGCTGATGTAACTGAGGAAAAGTCCAGCTTAAAACATTCTCATTATTTTGACAGTTGAATATTTTAGGTTTGTTACAGAAGGGATGCTTACTCGATTACTTGGTAGGGGCCAAACGTCCTCTCAGGGTCCCCATTGGAAACGGCAACAGTCAATGGACGTAATGGAATTGCCTCCTCTTCCTGCAAGCCCTCTTCATTGTCTTGCATTGAAGCTGCACTGCAATGTGTATAATTTGTTCACAATAGGTACGTTTAGAAAGCTGTGGGATTTGATGTAATATTGTGTTTCAGTCAATGCATACATATGCTTCAGGTCTAGTAAGAAATATTAAATTTCAAATTATATTTAGAGCTGTAAAATGGTAGTATATATTGTACATCAAAGAGATTAAGATGGGTGGGTGCAAACAAGAAAGGGAAGCATCATAAGAAGATACTCTTTGAAAGACCAAGGTATAAATGGAAGTTTTATGTAACATTTTTATTCTCTAAAAATAATAAAGGATATTATAAGTTCATCTTATCTATGACATAATGGAAAATCTCATATGAGTCCGCCACGAAGTAAAATAAAATACCAACATTAAGAAAGGTTTGAAACACACATAAAATTATTAATTTTGATGTTTGCTCCACTCTCAAAGGTTTTGATTTCCTTCAGCATAATCAATTACTCTATAAGAAAAGTTAAATTTTATGCAATGATTATTTCAAATGCATTCAAAATGACCGTACCTTGTAATATGTGGCATGAGTGTACTCCTGGTCATGCTCGTAATGTGGTTCATGCCTTCAGTTACAGCACGATGGATCGAGTTATAAGGCAAGTAGTCAATTGAGTTGGTTGGAGATACCTGTATAAAACATTCATCATAAACTATGACAGCTCTTTAACCTTTATTATACAGGAAGAGGTGATTTGAATCTCCATAATACAGGGCTAATAGCCATACTCTAACTTCAGTGCTAAGCGTTTAGTGGTGTGCTGGGCTGCACTTAGCCTATGACACATGTTTAATAAAGGTTAATCGCAAAACTTCATGCATTCAGATATTTAAGTTACTTCCCCCATACTCTGTTTATAATATCTAATATTTCACTCACTTTTTCAGAGGCTAACAGAAGTGGCACTTTGCAAATGTGGTGACGGTATAAATTAATAAAATGAGAATGGCAATGATGCTTCATAAGCTGAAAGGTATTTAGCAAGACAGTGATTGTGGCTTATTTAAAGTAAAATCTCAGAACTTATCCAGCATAAATCATAAAACCACTTCAGATAACCCTCAAAGATTGGACTCTCGATATTCTGAATTCAAAGGAGAAACGGCAATCATTCAAAAAGAGCGTTCAGTTTAATTCTGAAACCAGAGTGACACCTTGCATGTAGTTGTATCTAATCCCTTTCTCTCCCTCCACACAGTTTAACTTGATGGCTTTCTTAATGAAATTCTCTTAACTGGTTACAAAACTTGAAATAAAAGAAGTTAAGATAGCTTCTCAGCTGAAAATCAAACAGAAGTTCTGCTGAAATTGAAGTAGGAGTGCTAATCTTTTGACTGTAATGCTTAATAATGAATAAAGATAATACATGACAAGGATATACTTTATTCAGCATTAAGGACCAGAGGTGTACAAACACATTCTGCCTCCCTGAGAAGATTGCAAAATTTTATTATATCTAGGCATCTAGATACAAGACACATATGCAGCTACTTTTGACAGTGTTGTGCGTTCTATTTTTGATGAAGAATCTACTGCCACATTCGTGTCCATGACAGATGCTGTAACCAAATCTAAACATTGGCACTAAATGTTATAAGCAGATGAAAACTACAACATTTCTCAGCACGAAAGCTTGTATGAAAGGAATGCGAGATTCTGAGGTGCAGCTGAATACAAGAGAAAGTAAAATGTAAAGTGCAAGTGTAAAAGTGTGATGCAGTTGGCGTGCTGCCAAACCATGACGGAAAGAAGATTCCATAATTTTAAGTGCATCATGTGTAAGCTTGAAGAAACTTGTAGCACAACTGATAAAAATTATGCAACAGACAAACATCACCTCAATTGGGAAAAATGGTGCGTTACACTCCGGAAACTTGTAGTTGAAAGAGATGGCAACCAATCGAAAGCAGTTCACAATCATCTTGCACAAAGAGCTTGGAAAACAGGGAAGTTTCTGCCAGATGGGTGCCTCATCAGTCGACAGACAACCACAAACATTGCACATGACATGCTCGACCGTTCTCCCCCACTTTTATCACTGTACTGTCATGAGGGTTGAGACATTTGAGCCTAAGGCAAAACAATAAAGCATGCAATGGAAACATCCATTGGTGGGTCATAATCAAGATACCATTTCCTTATTTACGGGTTTTTGTTCGCTTCAGGTCCTGCTTAAGATACAGGTCAATCTGCTTTCATTTAACTTTGGTCCACAGTAAAACTCAAGACTGGTAAAAGCTTCTAAACTGGTAGATGACAGAAAAAAGAAATATTTATGTACATCTAAAAATGACCTATAATAAACAACTACATACACAAGAAAACAATTCTTGAAGGACATCGTGCATAGATTTTAAAATACCAAAGAAGTTTACTGGTATAAAGTAAAGCGTCCCGCTACATGCCTATTACTGGTATACAATTTTGTAAAAGTAATAGATTTGCGTCGTCCCGCGCTTTAGCAGCGCGGTCTGAGGCATCATGCTTCGGACCGGTGATATGGAATGTGCGCTGGTTCGAGTCTTGGGGAAAGAAATTTCTCATGAGATTTCTGACCGGCATATGGGACCGGTGCCAACCCAGCATGGTGAGGAAATTGGGGAGCTACAATGGGTAGCGTAATCTGGTCATGGAAACTATCAATGGCTGGGGGTTCGTCGTGCTGACCACATGTCACCCTATATCTGGTTGGATGATCGTTCACCTCTGCTTAGGCATGTGAACGTGAGGCCAGCAGCCAGCTAGTAGGCTTTGGCTCTCAGAGGGCTGTTATGCCATGGATTATTTTATTAATAGATTTGTGGGATTTAATTTCCTGTAATTAAACATGCAGGGTAGTTACAAAATATTCACTGAGAATATAATATAAATATTTCAAGATTCACCATGTTCACAAAGGCCTTTTGTACTTTTAATTTTATGTGTAAATATAACAGAGTATGGAAATGAGAAATGATGGTTTGAGTCACAACTATGTTTTGTACAAGCTTGTTACTTTCCATTAGACACATTTTGCTTCTTACTCCTGACTCAGCTGAATAGGTTCATCTAGTTGTAGTCAGACGATTTTGTTCCTCAACGCTGGTGATAAAAAGCTTATCGGTATATTTTATCACCACATTTCACTCATAGTCCCATTGCCCACACATATTATAGAACATTTCAGAATTTCCATTTCTGTTTTAAATTTGAGAAATTAACATATCACACCAGTCACATTTCATTTTAAAAATAAAGAGGTATTGTAATGGTATATGATGGAAATTAAAAAAAAATTAAGAAAGATAAATTATTAGATATGTATAAACTGTAGTAGAAGAGTGTTTCAAACAACTTGTGAAATAACACTGTACACGAAAACTAACTTTAGTCCTTGAAGAAGGTAGAATGTATTTTTTTTTATTCTCAAGATATACTCAAAACAATCCTATTATCCTTCATGAAGCATGAAATCATGCTGGAAATAAATTATAATTGCCCAAAACTGTATCAAAAATCTTGCCCTCTCTGTCTTACCATTATCAGCTGAACAAGTGGCAGAAGAACTCAGTCACACGTGTATTTTTAATTTCCGCATTCTTCTATTGAAATACAAAGCTTGCATTATATATGACTTTAAGATGGAAATGTTTCACTTGTTACTTATTCTCTGGCAACAGGGTGGAAGCACTGTCAGTATAAACAGTGGTACTGTAATTCAGGTGCATCTAATCCAACCTCAAAATTGTGTCGGTACAATTTATTGAACCAGGAAGAAAAAAAATTAGAACTATACCATCCATCAAGAGATAACTCAATATGGTGGAGCGTGTTGCCCTAAACCGAGGTATCCTGACAGGACCATCAGATACTTTCAGAATTGCCTTCCTAAATCATACAATAATCTACTTACCTTTCTGAGATTCCTTCCTGGAACATCTAAGTGGTTCATCTGTAACACAAAATACAAATGCATTTAATTTAATTAATATATTAACTAAACCAGGTATTTTCAACACATGGATAAGAGGTTTTGTGTACATTTTATTCAATATTGTGTCACTCTGTATGATGACAAAGTCATCTGATGTCTGAAAACGTGCCTTAATGTTGTTAGTATCGCACAGTATCCAACAGTTTCAGCTTAATGACGAACATAAACTTAACCTAGGACATGTCTCACTGAAGAATGCCTGAAGGAATATGTGCAAATAACAGCAGAAATTAACCTCAAGGAAGAGCAGTGGAACGGTGTTAAATACATCAATAATGACTAACTTCGCCAAAGAAAATTTCCGAGTAACACGTGAACCTCTGCAATAGCAAATTAGTGGTATTTTAATAAACTCTCCTCATTTGTAACCGTGAACTGAATTATATGTGTAAATATAATATTCTTCAATATGTATCACATAATTTGCACGCCTGAATTTCATAACTAAAAGTCTGCACAAAAGTGCTTGCTTGGATGCTTACCTTAATTTGTGTTGAGTTGACTTTTAGCGACCGGGCACGATGGAAACCAGCGTGGCCTCGTCGCATCGATGACCAAACACTGCCAAACAGTGAATGATTACGCTGAAACAAATAATAATTTTAAGTCAGTATTGGTAGGTCTTCTTTAAATTTTACTTTGCAGTAAAGGGAGATTTAAAACCCATATTACAGGGCAGCTGGCTGGAATTTAACTCTAGAGTAGTAGTTTTAGTAAGATAATACCACAGCTCACTGGAAGCTGCACCATATATAATCATTTTAAATTTGAGGTTTTGTTAAATTAGTATTTAATTTATAAATTCCCATTTCACGCACTATGAAATTTATTCCTTTTAACATTTAACATGTGGAAACAGGGGATTTAAATCTATGGGACACTCAGCCATAATTTAACTCCAGGGTTAATGGTTTAATGATATACTATTGTGACACAAAGCCAGCAGGAACACTTAGATGTTTCACATGGTGAATAAAGATTATAGTCCCCCTCAAATTCACTGCCTCCAAATGGATGAATATGTGGCAAATTTCACTACAGAAGTAAAACTTTCCACTGACAATTGTAAGAATTCTTAGGGGTGGTGTATGGGGATTTGAGCACATAATTTTAGTTATTATAAAGGAATTTACATTGCAGGAGAATTTAATGTGAGAAAAACTGAAATGGGTATGTGTAGATATGTGTGCACGCACATGTGTTTATGTGTGACTATTACACTTGTGCAGATAAAACAACATTTTCAATAATTGAAAACAATATCAACTACTTTCTAATTTATCTAAACCTTTTTTAGGAAATAAAATTGTGATGTTCTGCACATGGTTACAATAGTTTAACAGAGCATCACTTTATATTATAAACAGTTAATATGAGATTTTTTTGCAAAGCATTATGTACAGCATCAAAATTATATAAAACATAAGTCATTAACTATTATATTGACCAGAACAGTTAAAATATTGTCCCTTCTTACCCTATGCATGGGTTCAGGATTGTCATCCATTAATTCCTCCAAGTTTCCAGAGATAGCACGTTTCAGTTCAGGGCCTGCGTCATGCAGGGTACGCAGTCCAGCCTGTTAAGAAGAAATATGTTTGTCTCATATCAACAAGAAAAACAAATGTAAGACTTGAGGTTCTCACAGCGGTGAGTATGAAGATATCCGTCTTCTGGGTTATTGCGCTGTGTAGTCTGGTCGATGTTAACCAACGTTTCA